TTTATGTATTTTAATTTTAGATAATAGGTTTTCTAAAACATTTATTTTAAAATTTAAGTTTATATTTTTTATTAACATTATGTTTAATATTTTTTTGAATTTTTTGCATTTTTTTAAAAATTTTTGGCATTTTTTTTTGATTTTTTAGCTTTTTTTTTGTAATTTTGCACCTTTCTTAAAAAGGCGCAAGGCGAGGCGTGCGCCTCAGGCGCAAATTAGCCCTTGCGCTTTTAAAACACTGCTGAGATGTGGATATGGTTTAGTGATCATGGGACCTTCCAAATATGGGAAGTCCACATTGCCAAGGGCAATTGCAGATTGATTAATTTATGAGTCACCTACAAAGAGGTCACAGTTCATGGCATTTTACTTAATTAATATGTTCCAAGGTAGCCATGAGGTACCACAGAGCATAAACATATGTGAAGGAAAGGGAGAGATGCGGTGTTGACAGTTGACGTTGGGAAGGTTGGGAAGCTGGAGGGAAGGATGAGGGTGCTAAGCGCTAGCCTGGTAGGAAGATTTATTGGACTGGATTTGGATGTAGACAAGGTGGAAGCTTGGACAAACCTTGAGTGGGGACATGGCAAGGTTTTGGGTATCAGGAAGCTGAATGCAGGACTGTATACCTTTTTATGTTCCACTGTAGAGATTGGGCTCAGAAGGTGCTGGAAGCAGAATGGAGGGCAGAGAGGGACCTTGACCTCAGACTGGGGTGGTGGTTTCCTGCAGCAGGTGCTTTGAATGAAGAAGGAAAGAGGAAGAGAAGGGCACTTTTGGATTGCCATGGTTGGAATACCATTACATGCGTGGAGTATCATCACGTTTGAGGAGATAGGGAAGTATTGCTGGAGATTTTTGAAATTTGATGATAAGAACAGAAGCTGGGATAGATTGGACATGGCCAAAATACTGGTAGAAGTGGAGGATATCGCTGATATTCCAATTAGGATGAAGCCGCTATATGCAGGGGAAAGCTATGAATTAAGAATAGTCGTGGAAGGAGAAGATAGGACTTTGTTGAGTTTGGCTCAAGAGAACAGTGGGAAAGGGGAGGATTTGAGAGAGGGGAAGGAAGGGTCTGTTAGCAGAGATAGAGCTCATAGTATAGACGGTGTGAAGACAAAGAGTCATCCAAAGGAAGGAGAAGTGGATAATGTGGGGGGGGGGAGGGTAATTGTGGTGTTTCATAAGGTTTGAGTGAGTGAGGATTTAGCAAGGAAGGACACATGGAAGGGGAGGTGATGGGGAGTAAGGGAGACTGAGGGACGTGTGAAAGTGGTGGGGGAGAAGAAACGGCATGGGGGGCTGAGGGAACTGATGAGACATTAAGCTCGAATGGGACCTATAGTTTAAAGAATGGAGACCTTGACAATTTTCGAAGGGGACATGTATCAAATGGGCTGGGGGTTAGGTGGGTAAGGATATAATTGGTAAGAAAATAATTAGAAAAGACTTTTTGAAAAAAATCAAATGGTAAGGGAGATTACTCGAGGAATAAAGATGAAGGTTGGGTGTGAGTGATAACCAAATTCAAGGGAGGAGAGAAGAAGGTGGAGCTTCGGCCGTGAAGAGGAACGTTTTCGGCAGCAGGCAAGACCAAACATTGCAGCGAGGGTGGTAGACAAGGCAAGGAAAGACTTGGGAAGGATGTCGTTACTCTGAAGGAGGATGGCACAACCATTGTTAGGTATAGTACGATAAGTTCTATGCCGTCGTTGTCCAGTTCTACTTGTGCAGATGGAGTTTCGACGTTCTCAAGATCACAGCTAGTGGAAGAAAGCACAGAATCAGTGACTGATGAAGACGATGAAAAGTGCATGCAAGGGGCCAGATGCCGAACTTCTAGAGAAAGAGGTAAGTGCTCATAATACTAGTAGGCTCTTTGCCTAGGAGGCGGTGGTGGAGAGCCATTTGGTGGAATACAACAGGAGTGGGAATAAAGAAAGGGCTGGCGGTAGGAAAAGGAAGGCTATGGTGGAAGTGGGAAGGGGAGAGAAGAAGGAAACAATGTAGAAGAGGAAAAGAAAAATAGGGGGCCTTGATACGGGAATGGAAGGGGAGAAGGGAGGAGAGGAGCACAGGAAAGGTTGCTTGGAGGAAAGCATAGGAAAGGTTGCTTGGAGGAAAAGAGGGGGGGGAAGAGTAAGTAATGAAGGAGAGAGAAGGGGAACAAGGGGCTTTGGAAGGGGTGCATAAGGGTGTCTTGGAAATTAGTACTTTGGTTGAGAAGGAGGTGGTAGTGGGTAAATCTTTGGGATTTTTTTTATGGGGAGGGGAAGATTTTGCAAGGAGGGCTTGCGAACAATTCGAGAAAGCCAGGAGGGAAAAGACGAATAAATCTAATAAAGAACAGAGGTTGGGACTTGGGATGAAGAAGGGGAAGAGGAGGAGGTGTTGGGGGAGGATCTGTAAGGAGTCGGAGCTCAACTTGCATCAGGGGTCGGGTAAGGTTTTAAGGATGAGGGTATTGAGTTGGAACATTAGGGGTTTGAGGCAGAAAAGAAAAAAAAATAATAGTGGTTGGGAACTTAAGCAGGCGATACAGACCAGAGGAAGATCTATTACAGGAAACAAAATTGGAGTCTTACAATATGAACCTGGATGAAGAGATTTGGGGGAGGGTCAGTGGGGATTGGTTGGAAGTGGATGGTGGGGGCCTTTCAGGGGGTGTTGTCATATTATGGGACCAGGGGTTTACAGAAGATAGGTGAAAAGGATGGCATTTTGTATTGGATTGGGTTCTGGTGCTGCCTGAGTTTGAACAGAATGTGCTTGTATTGGATTGGATTGGGTTTTGGAATGTGCTTGAATTACAGAATTGTAACAGTGATCAGTTTGTTGTTTTGGTCATCAGCTGCTTTGTATTGGTGAGGTGCCATGTAGTCACCTCTGAATTTGTAACCTTTTTTTCTTTTTAATAAAATTTCTTTTTTTCTTGTGCTTAAAAAAAAGGTTTACTGTCTCCATGTATTTGAGATGTGAATATGATAATGTGTGGCACAATTGCTGGTAAAACTTTAAAAAGTGGATGCATCTGTATAATATATGACAATATTTTTGTCTTTCTAAATAACTTAGTCCATCTAAATTCTAAACTATGCATTATCCAAGGAGTTTACTTGGCATGTGCTGTGTTTACATGTGAATGCAGTCTCATGTTTAAGACTGCGAAATTTCAGAGAATGGTATAAATCTTCTTTATCTATTCCAGGGATAAGTTTTTTCCACTGGCTGCTTAATACTTAGATGGACTACATGGTCATACATAAATATTTTTTGTACATCAGTGCTCAACACTATTTTCTGCACCTTTCCTTGTAGTAATGGAGATGCTGTTTCTTTATGGTCATTGTCCAGTTTATTTTCTTGGATGGCCATTCTCTCTTCCTTTTGTATGTTTGGATGTGGAGAGGGCATGGTGCTTCTGCTTGCACTATGTACTGAAGGATTTTTGGTTCTTATTCCAATAAGATGTCTGTGACAATATTTGGTTTTTGCAGGTGATGAAAAACTGTCTTCCAGATCTATTTGATGCACAGCCTGATTTGCTATTTCAGCTTGTGACCATGCTGAACCCATCTGTTTTGCAAGAAAATGGAGTTCCAGTTTATAGTGTACTTCAGGTTTGATGTCTTGGAGCTTGATATTCATATCTTTGATTATTTCTGTAATGGTCATGGGCTAAGTTGAATATTTCTGCAGTTCTTTTTCTTTGATCACCTATGTAATTGTGATACAATTACCATAAATTTTTTGTCCCTAAAACTTGAAATTTTTTTATCTTGCTTTTTTTCTAAGTGTATTTTCTGTTTGTTGTAATATTCTTCAATTTCTGAAAGAAGTCCAAGATTTTCTGTGTCAATGATAATAGACTGGTTCCGTGTTCACAGTGAATTCAGAGATTTCTTAAGGTCTTATTTTGGGTCAGATCTTTGGTCATCTCGAGTCATGAGGGATTAATCATAATGTTATCTTTGTGCATATGTATAGTTGCTTTATTTTGATTGGCTGAGTTAGTTATCACTTCTTAGCTAAGAGTTGTCCATAACTTTTTTTTTTTTTTTAATTCAATAAAATTTCCTTTTCTCTTGCTATAAAAAATTACTTGTATCTGCCATCTATTGAATATACTCTATTTAATCTAGTGCCATTGTTTTTCTTTCAGGAGCCTGGAAACTTTGTTATAACCTTTCCTAGGTCTTACCATGGTGGTTTTAATTTTGGTAAGCCATTTCACAATTGCAATATTTTCTTTCTATGAACTTCTGCATGTGATATTGAGTAATAGCTTGCACATTCTGTGGTATACGTTTTTAAGGACATTGTCTTTTCAGGCTTAAATTGTGCTGAAGCTGTTAATTTTGCCCCTGCTGACTGGTTGCCTCATGGTGGCTTCGGAGCAGAACTGTATAGGTCGTATCACAAAGCTGCTGTTTTATCTCATGAGGAGCTTCTTTATGTTGTAGCCAAGGTTGCATATTTTGGAACTTGCCACCTCTTTTATCCGTAATTTGTCATCTATCAATATCAAGTTTGTTCAATATTGGTGTACACTGTACTATAGTATTCATTTATCTCCGTGTGTTAGGTAATTTTATTTCTGGATCACTAAGTGAGATATTTGATAAAACTTATTAGGATAATTTTATTGGGGACTTATATACCAACAGGGGAACCTTTAAAAGAAAGAGAAAAAATGGACATTAAAGTGTAGGTGCCAGTAGGTAGCCAAATTTAGGGGTTCTATTGAACATTCCTGTATTACAGAATTCATTTATATATAAACTAATAAAATCTTGATGCTAAGGAAAAAACTGTCAAGCCCTCAAAAGAAAAAGGAAGACATGCCCAAGAGATTGTCTCAAACTTGATCAGACTGAAACATCTTTCACAGCATAAACCTAAAAGGAAACAACACTGTTTTATTATTAAAAATCCACAATACTTGCTAAAGGACTTTTCTCTTTGCTGCAAGTGAGAAGTATTCTTAAATAATTTATAGGGGTTTGACTATGGTATACCGGAAATGCTTATGACCAATCAACCGGTATCATGACACTAGTAAAGCCTTACAGACATGAGAATATCACAGAACATGAGAGTATCTTAGCTGATCAAGAGAAGCACCACAGAACATGAGAGTATCATCAGCATACTGCAGCATGGATACCTCTACCCTTTCATCTCCCACTGTAAAGCCTTATATAAAACCCCCTGAAGTAGCCCTTTTCATCAGCCTGTTCAGGGCTTCTGTCACACAAATAAGTAGAAAGGGAGAAAGAGGTTATCCCTGCCTCAGACCCCTTGAGCTCTTAAAGCAACCACATGATGCAACATTCACCAAAACAGAGAAAGAAGGGGTGCTGGTGCAGACCTTCATCCAGGTCCTCCATTTAGAACCGAAATTCATCCGTTTCAAAATATAGTCCAAGATAGTCCAAGAAGTGCCAATTGACATGGTCATAGGCCTTCTCGAAGTCCACTTTGCAAAGAAGACCAGACCTTCCACTTCTCAATCTTGCATCTATGAACTCATTTGCCACTAAAACCCCATCAGCCATAAATCTTCCCTCCACATACGTGCCTTGGTTCTCTGAGATTAAAATACCCAACATGGACTTTAGCCTCCTAGCCAGGACTTTGGCTATTATCTTGTAAACACTCACGATTAAGGTGATTGGCCTGAAGTCCTTGAGCTCTTCCGCACCTTTCTTCTTGGGCAAAAGAGTAATGAAAGTTGAGTTTAAACTTCTCTCCAAGGTTGCTGACTCATGAAACTCTTCCATTACCTTCGTAATGTGAACCTTCAAAAACTCCAAGCAATGTTTGAAAAAAGCCATAGTAAAGCCGTCCAGGCCTGGCACTTTATCCTCCTCCATCTCTTTGGTTGCTTCCCACACCTCCTCTCCAAACACCCTTTCCAACTCTCTAGCTTGCTCTGTGGTTAAGCCATCGAAGTCAAGGCCTAGTGCGCCATTCTTCTTTGTACAGCCTCTTGTAGAAGTCTACTATGTGGTCTCTGATCCCATCTTCCTCTCATAGAAGTCTACTTGCCATTTTGTGGAAAAACCTTGTATTTTTGTTGCCTGCCTTCAGCCATAAACATTTAAAACGCTGTCTCCATTTCATCTTTTCTTGAAAAGCAACTTTGTTGAACTCCACTTTTGCATCAATCCTCCTCTTCTTCTCATCCTGTGAGAGTTGCCTCTCCTTCTCAGCCCTATCAATCTCAACTATTGTTTCTAAACAACTCCTCTTCCTCCATTCTCTCTCCTGGGAGTTCTCCTTTCTCCAAACTTTGATTTTTTATTTCAAAAACTTAAGATTCTTTCTGATTTTGTGCCTACCTGTTCCTTCCACAAATAATTCAGACCACCAACTTCTCAACTTTTCCACGAAGCTGTCCTCTTCAAGCCAATAAATCTCGAATCTGAAAGGAGATGGTTTCAACTGTAATCTGCGGCAGTCCAAACGAATAGGAGTATGGTCTGAGATGGGTCTGGGTAAGGCCTCTTATAACAGAGTTGAAACCACAAAACGATCCAATCTCACCAAGGTTGCTGCCTCTTGATTGTTTGTCCAGATATATTTGGCACCCACCAGTGGATGGCCCACAAACTCCCACCCAGTGTCAACTATGCAGAACCAAATTGAGATAGAGAAAAGACCACCTCTCTTGCCCTTCACCTCCACAGAGTTAGTGTCCCAGATGACTACCAAGCCTCCGGCAGTTCCCTCTGCTGGCAAAACTTCCCATTCACACTCACTTTTGCCCCAAACGTTCCTTATTGTCTGAGATTCTAATACTTCCATTTTAGTTTCCTGTAAACAAAGAATGTCTGCCTTCCACTTCTTTAAATGTGCCCCTGCCTTCCACTTCTTTAAATGTTCTTTTCACTTAGGAATCTCTTATCAGGTATCATAAGTTTGCACTTTGCACCTAGTGGTGCCTCTCTTATCTCATTATTAGATCTTTTTCCATTTACTTATTTAGTATTTACTATACAATAGTGTTTTCCTCTGTCATGGGGTTTTATGGTTTATTTTTTAGTCATTTTCTTGCTTTCCTTTTTGATTAATCTAGCAGGGTGATTGTGGCAGTAAAGTATCACCTTTTTTAAAGAAAGAATTGCTCAGGGTATTTTCAAAAGAAAAAACTTGGAGAGAGCGACTCTGGAGAGATGGCATCATTTGTACGTCCCCAATGACTCCACGAAGACATCCAGAATATGTGGGTACTGAGGAGGTATTTCCATTCATTTTGATTCTGGCACGTTGTTACTGGAATATGATATTGGAATGCTCAGTGATAATGATATTAACTCCAGTTGTCTTTTGTAGGATCCTTCATGCATTATTTGTCAGCAGTATTTGTTCCTTTCAGCTGTTGTCTGCAGCTGCAGACCGTCTGCTTTTGTGTGTCTGGAGGTATGAGAACTGATCTTTTGGAAAATTAAGGGTTAATATGTTAATCCTGCTATTAACCTTTTCTTTTGGCTGGAATGATTCCCATATTCCTTTAGTTTTGAACTGTGCCCTATGGTTTTTGATTATGTTGTRTTGAATCTGTTTTCTCTCACTTCTTTGGGGCTCTTTCTRCCTTGTGCAAAATTACATGTTCTAGAGATGGCTATTTGTATGTAAAAAATAATGGTTTGGCAATGATTTCATCTCCATTGGAAGTTTCAACTGTGCCCTATGGTTTTTGATTATGTTGTRTTGAATCTGTTTTCTCTCACTTCTTTGGGGCTCTTTCTRCCTTGTGCAAAATTACATGTTCTAGAGATGGCTATTTGTATGTAAAAAATAATGGTTTGGCAATGATTTCATCTCCATTGGAAGTTGAAATTATATTAAAGATAGGTGGAAAGTGTATACAGGTGCTTTGTGGAAACAAAAGAAGAGGAAGGGAATAAGGGAAACAGATCACCAGTGCTTAAATCCTTTAATGTAAACTAAAATTCCTCTTTCACAAAAAAAAAAAAACTAAAATTCCTGAATCCCCTACAACCTTTTCTTTTGATCAATGACATATCAGCAAGAACTTATCAGTGCTAACATTATCAATTAAGAATTTATAGTAATAACATATCGGTGAGAATTTATTGTTGAAAATAAAGAAGTAGAAGAACATAGCCAGGTTGATATTGCTAGTAGCACCCAACAAACAATATATCCCACCAGAAAATGTCGTAGTTACTATTCTCTCCCAGGGCATGTCCTTAATATGAAGCTTCCCCATTAACTCCTTTCTTAGCCAGAGAATTTGCTAATTGGTTAAGACTAGGGTTCATCCCGGGCCGGGCTTTGCACCTTGATAAGGGCTATAGCCTAGGCCTGGGCCTGGCCCGGGTTCTGGGCCTGAAACATAAGCCCAGGCCTGATTGAGGGCCTACACATTTTATATATAATATAAAATCATCATCATCATCCATTCCTTATTCCAACTATATAGGGTCGGCTATCATTGTATAATATTTAATATATTATAAGTGTCATTATATATATAGATGTGTGTGTATATATATAATATAACATAAAATGACATATATACATATGTATACGTTATGTATAAAGTACACATATTTAAATACATGCGGGCTGGGTTGGGCTTGAAGTTTTAGGCCCAGGCCCGCCCTCTAATTTACGGGCCTGATGCAGGACCAGGCCTGATCACAAAACCTTGTCCTAAGCCCGGAATTTCTGGGGTGGACTGAAATGATCACCCCTAGTTAAGAGAGTTTTTGATCCAGCTATATGGTGTGTTCTCACTGCATGCCAAAATTGAGATTCACTTATACAGTGCAATTACAATGATGGACCTGGTATGTTATGCTTGTCCATTCTATTTCAGCCTGATGGTAACCCTCAATTTCCAATTTTCCATACCCCAAAGAGATGGACCTGTACTGGACTTTAAAAGATTTGAAGTGGAAGGAGATTATGAACTTGTATTTGCATGATGACAATGGAGGAATGACCTTGGGAGATTTTCCCTCTTATCAGAGAAACTAGAGATCTTGCATCTAGGGTGAATGTATCATTCAACTGGATCAGCTGAAATGCAGATGTTTTGACCGAGTCCAGCCAGATTGGGTGGAGACAAAGAAAAATTATAGAGGGATTTCCATTCCATATGGTGTGGGTGGATAATGACCTAGTATTTTGGATGTTATTTTTTTCCTAATTTCACTGCATTGGACCCATTCTTTTATTAGTGAAAAATTTGTGTTACTGATACAATAGGATCTACCAACTCCCTTTTTTATGATTTCTAGGTAGGAAAGGGGCTGAAAGATGGTTCTTCTATTGGGGATGTTTTGGGGGAGAGAAATAAAGAATGGTTATATTACAAAGCATGCCAAGCACCCCTTACGGGGCTTGCATCTGCTGCCCTTCCCCTTTAATGAGTACAATTAATGGTGATAAGACCTCTAAAAGCTGATTGACATGGGCAACAAGATACTACTGTGCTGGCTTTCCCTTGATCAGATCATCATCCAATAATTTGTCTCATCTAGGTATCTGTTTTAACCATATCTTCACTCTGGAAGCAAATCCCTTCTCATTCCTCTCCTTCCCTTTTCTTTTCTTTCTTTTCTCGTTTTTTTCTTATTCTTTCTTTCTTTTTCTTTCCCTTTCCTTCCCTTTCCTTTCTTTTTTCTTGTCTTTTTATATGAGGTGTGCGTGAGGTACATGAGGTGTTTGCCTGTAGCATGCCTCATGAAAAAGGTGTATGAGGTTTATGCCTCTTGCACATGAGGCATACACCTCAGAGGTCTCAATGCCTCTGGCATACACCTCAGGGTGTTTTGGGAGCACTTTGCCTGGAGGCGCACCACCAGGCGTACACCTTATACCTTTTAAACCACTGGATAGCGCCTAGGCCCCAACTAGTCATCACATCCTATAATATGGGAAAAACAACTTGCCATTGCCTCACTGCTTTGATAATATTTCTTTCACCTATTAGAAGGCAATTCACTTATCAGAATGATAAGGTCTGAATTTTGGGTCATGTTTTGTTTTTCTAGTTCTGTTAGTTATTGAAATATATTGTTTTTATTTAATGGGAAAAGGACAAGATTCTTTGTAGTAAATTATTGAAATATAGTTGAAACCAAATTGTTGGGATTAAGGCAGAGTTGGTTTTTTGTAAATTATTGAAACAGTAGATTCCACTATGTGTTGGAGTTGGTCTTTAGCACTGCACAGTGCTTACCATCTAAGCTTGAGAAATAGGAAGCAGTATGGCACAACTTTCAAATGGGAACCTGTTGGTTTTTTTTTTTTTGGATCCTTCACTTGGTTTTGATTCTAAACATTTTGTCTAAAAAGTAGATATTGGTCCTTCCAAATGTGGTTAGTCTATTGTTATATTTAGATACTTGTGGTATGTATTGCTTCTATAAGACATATTCTCAAGTTGTTCTTTATGTTTGTCTCTTATGCAGCACTGGGAACACCTATGTGAATGTAGTCCCAGCAAACATCGTCTTCTTTATCGCCATACACTTGCTGAGTTGAATGACTTGGTGCTTATGCTGGATAAATGCAATTTGGAGGAGTCACCCCAAAACAGAACAATCCGGAAACACCTTCCATCTTCTAATGAATCTAATTCTGTGATGAAGAAGGTAATTATTTTTCTTATTTTGACTTTCTGCTAGCTTACATTAATAATTTAGTTTTAGTAAATTTGTGTGCCTTTATTCTCCTTTGAATGAGATTTCCTTCATCTATTCTTAGTTCCCATAGTTGGTTAGATCTTGATGACAGTGAATGTTTACATGGCAAATATGCTTTTTTCCCTTTCTTATTGTATTATCTACTATAAACAAACACCAAGTAAAAGTAAAATAGAGAGGTATAAATATGGGGGGAAGAAACAGATATCAAGGAAATGCCAACAACTCCCTTTCAAGTTCCAACTTGCAATTCTTCCATGGTTATGATCATTGTTAGTTTGGAAATGCGAAATATATGGTACATGATATGTGTGGGTACATTTTGTTTATAATACTTATAATACTTACAATAATTTATTCAAAATAGTTGCTTGATCAGTTGTGACTTGACACTAAAAAATTTGGTCGATGAAAGTGGAAATGGAAAAATCAAATATGGATATATTCAGGTATAATATGGTTTTCTTAAAAATGTTTAAGTTAAAATATCTGCTATAGTCTGTATGTACATGCATAATACATATATGCATTTCTCTTATATTGCCCTTAAAATGTATAAAATAGTACAACTACATAATATGCACTTCCTTATTACTCATTGTTCTAGACGAGTGTGTACTGGAGTACAGACCCCCTGGTGGTGTAGGATTGTTTGAGCTACATCACTAGGGAGTAATACTTTGGGTACTGTTAATTTTTTTCCCTGATATAGGATTGTTTGTATGCATGGGGAGAGTAGAGTACCCGAGAGGTAGCTCTTTTCTTTCAGATGGGGGTTGGCTACGGCTAATATCCTTTTCTTTGTTGTGACTTTTTGTTTTACTCTGTTGAGAACCTTACATCTTATGTTCAGTTTAGTAGAGTTGCTTTTTTCTGTTTCGTTTTAGTTTCTGTTTTTTTTTGGGCTATGTATGAAATCTGGTGGCAGGGGCAGAATAGTCAATTTATGCTTTGATGTAGGAAGGGGTATGGGTCCTACTATTTTCAGGTTTGGTGGTGAAAAAAGGGATTTGGATGATCTAGGATGAAGAATAAGGATGGAAAAGCAAGTAGATAGTTTGCTGTCCACCAAGGAATGAGCAAAATATTATAAAGAAAGAGGAGAATTCTTGCTACTAGGGTAAACGACAAAGATATAGATTTCTTAGAAAAAAAATAAGAGATTGGTCGCACTAAGGCTGTGTTTGTTGTTCCTGTCCCACAAAAGGGGTTTTGGTGGGTAAGTTTTAAGGAACTGAGATCCCCTTTATCCTTTCCTGCAAATACTCGTTAGTGAATCGGAGTTTCTTGTATTTTCTATTGAAGGAGTTTTTTTTGTCCTTTTGTGCTTGAATTACTCAGACCTTTTGAATCTAAACTTTCCTGCATATCTCCATTTTCTAAATCTGCACACAAAATTCATATGAAAACTCCATTCCTAGATCTACTTTCTTGATTATTGACTTATTGTAGATTTTGTTGGTCTAGGGAGAAATTGGCAAATTGTTGATTCTGACCTAGAAGTCTTTTTAGGTCAAATTTTACATCCTAAAGAGCGTCTTGTGGGAGTTCCAAAATGAAATTAAAAAAAATTAAGTGGTTCACAAGTGACATGTAATTGAAGATTCAGTGGGTTCACAGACCAACAAACAGCATAGCAGACCTTCTTGCAGAACAGGGCAAGATACCACCTTTTTCTGGGTGACATTGTAAACTATTTGGGGGAAGACTTAGGGCCCGATTGGTTTGCTGGAATAAGTGCCTGGAATTGGAATTGGAATGGTCCAACCATTTATTTGGAATGGGATTCCAATTCCCATTCTTGGTAGAATGAGGTACCCCCATACGGGGAATGGCCATTCCAGGCTCCCCCCTAGGGAATGGGATTTCCATTCCAAAGTCTGTCAAGAAGTAAATAACTCATGACAAAAAAAACCCAATAATACATGAAATAGTAAAAATAAATTAACAATTGAATAATAAAATGTTATGGAAGTAATAATAAGATAATAATAATAAAATATGAATATATTAATAAAATATTTATTAATTAATGATAAATATTAAGATATTAATTATTAAATACTAATAAAATAATAATAACAAAGTACTAATAAATAATAATTATATATTCATCAAACATTAATAATAATAATAATAATAATGTAACTAAAGTAATAATAAAATACTAACATATTAATTATTAAATAATAATAAATTATTTTAAAATAATAAAACAAAAAGTAATAGAATATTAATAAACTAAAAATAAAATAATAAATTATTAATAAATGTAGTCATAATAAAAATGTTTTTAAAGTAATAATAAAATGATAAATGGACAAATACAAAATTGAAAAATTTCAGTTGATTCCGGTTCCAACTCCAAATGAACCAAACAGCAACAATCGGAATCCGATTCTGATTCCCAACTGAACCAAACAGACGCCAATAATAGGTGATTCCGATTCCAATTCTTGGGGATTCTGATTCTGATTCCGATCCTGTCCGCGAACAAAACGGACCCTTAAGGGTTGAGTTGAACTTATTTTCTGTTGATTTGCTGATAGGGTTCTGTGTGCATATTGGTTTTGTTTCTGCAAGTTTCTTATTGGTTAGCTGAGGCTAACTGGTTTTGTGTGTACTCTTGAAAAACATAATTGCAAAGCATGGTATTACCATATAAATAGGATATGCATATCCTTATTCTGGAATATGCGAAATGGAATCAAATTTCCATTTTTCGTATCCATATTGGGCATTGTAGTTGATTGGATGGGTGAAGTGGTAGTCTGTCGAGGCTTGACACATTTGATCAGGCAGGCAAAAGACTTGCTTTCCACAGTGTAACCTTCAAATGCATTCCAAATTTTGCCAACTTAGGGGCATGTATTTTTCTGTTTTCCTTTTTTCTAGAGAAGTGCCACATCAGAAGACAAAATATTCTTGGTGGCTAGCTACTATAGTCTGGTGCCTGGCATGTCTATGTACATATTCATTGTACACATCTCAATCAAAATTAGCACTTACTGATCAAGAAAAATTTTCCAGGTTGGTTTAGAAGAAAGCTCCCTATCTTTAGGACCAATGAAAAGATGCTTTAAAAAACAAATAGATGCTTTCATTTCCAGAAGGCTTCTGCGGGCTATCGTTTAGCATGTTGCACATACACATAAATCTCCTATAGACCCTCTTACAAGTGCTGCTTCAAAGCTACTATTGATAATACCAACCCACAATTAATTTGGTTTGAGTCCAAAGTATAAACTCAAGTAAAAATAAAAAAAAAGATGAGAATGGTGAAATAATTTCTATTTGATCAGAATCTTTATCTGAATATTGTGTGCTTTATGAAAAATAATATGAAACTGCCATAGGAATTCTTGATTTTAGAACCAAAAATTCAAGAATGCGTTTCTGGTTTCAGTTTTGGAATTTAGAAAAGCAATACACAATCATACTCCTTTATGTGGTTTTGTTTTAAGATAATAATGTTTTCTCAAACCATTTCTAGGACCCGGTTTTTTTTGAAATCACAAGAAATTACAGAATTCATGTTGGGGAACACCACCTTGCCGAAATTTTTGCTAGTGGAGTGGCTTGGATCTCGTTGTATTGGGAGTTGATTTTCTAGGTAGGTAGCTATTGTTTTCTTTTGTTTCATGACTTCCCATTGTATAGGTGGACTGTTTCCAGGATATGCCTCACTCCATATGTTTTAAATTTAAGAAGTGCAAGGGCTTCCTAGAGCTTGAGGTGTAAGGTGAAAGGCGATCTACGTGTCTAAACAAAAGTGAGGTGCCACTTCTGAAAAAAATTAAAGAAATGCTTAACGTAGGTGTTCTGCGAACCTAAATTCTTGAAGAAATAAAATGTTTCAAAAAAGCCTATTAGCTCAACTGGTTATATCATTGTGTTACCAGCACAAAGTTTTTTCTTCTTTTAGTAAACATTACCGACACAAAGGTTGTAGCCTTACATGGTTGACTCCTATTATAGGTCTATTTAAGCTTTAAGCAGTTTTTGTACAACCTGCATAAATTAGTTCTTCGGCATAAGTTCAGGGCTAGTTCGTTAGAATGTACAAAAAATCAAGTTAGGCACACCTTGTAAAATGAGCCTCTTCTATGGACCTAGTGCACTTTTGAAAACATTTCTTGCTTCTGCTTTGTCAGGAACCATTCCCGTATAATGGTTTCCTCTCTCTTGATCTTTTTACAAAATTATTCATTATAGATCCCAAAAAACAGAGACTTTCTCATGCGATATAGTGGTATTATTGTATGTTTGGTTGAAATTTTTGATAGTATTTGTTTTTTGTTTAAGAATTGTTCAAAGTTAGTTATCATATTATAGTATCTGGTTTCATTGTATTTGATTTTATCTCAGTTGTTTGTCTTCACTCGTGATCATTTATTTTCATTGAATGATGGTTTTTGAACCCAAATTGGCAAATTGTAGATGATGGTCTAATAAATTCCATTTTCAGAAGATAAATAGATAGTACTAGCGGGGAGCCGGTTACCCGTGCGATGTACGAGATTTGTTAAGCGAAAGCTAAATAATAGAAACACATAAGAGTATACAATTGTTTTATATTTTTAACTTTTTAAATAATTAATACTTGTTTATAATTTATATACTACTTTTAATAATTTTTTTACAATACAAAAATAACAATAATTAATTTCAGCCAGAGTTGTTCATCAAACTAATGAAACCAACCAATCCAACTAGCTCGACCCGAGTTAGTCAGTTTTCTAGTATTTCCGCTCGGCTTTGCTTCAACAATTTCCAAACCTAACCAGGTTGGATTGGCTTCACTTTGGTCATTTGTAAATCAGCCATAATTGAACGACTTGACCCTAGATATATATTAATATTTTATATTTTTAATATGGGAAGTAGGAAAATTCTCATATTTCTTAAGTCTAAAATATTTTACAATATAAATTTAAAATTATTTTTTA